CCTTGGATGCATGTTCAACATGCCACCACCAGGCTGCTCACCATCCCCAGAGCTCTGCCACCACATCCTTCCCCATCCCATCCAATGGCAACTCTGCAAAAGCCTCGCAGCCATCCTCCCGCCTTCCCCGCACCCACTGCAGGCCTGCAGGCTTCTCCTTCAGACCCCAGTATCCACATCTCCCCCCCGGCCTGAGCACCCCAGGCCTGGACCGTCGCAGCAGCCTCTCCTCCATCTCCCCACTTCTGCCAGAGGCCCCTGCAGCCTCTTCTCAGCTCAGATCATGGCGCCGGCCAGACCTCTGCGTGGTCCCCAGCTCACTCCTGACTATGGCCCTCAGGCCCCACCTGACCTGTCCTGTTTCCTCTTGGCATCACCCTCGACCCCTGCTAACTCCACTCCCACCTCACTGGCCTCCTGGCCACTCCCAGCACCCTCAGCAGCCCCCTCCGCAGGACCTTTGCTGTGGCTGTTCCCTGACCCGGAGCAGGTTCCCTGCACTGTCTTCACGGCCTTCTCCGTTTGCTGCACCTTCTCAGCGAGGCCTCTCCTGACCACCCACCCCCATTCCCTTCCCGGCTCTAATTTTCCTCATAGCAGCTTGTCAGTACTTTACAATTTACGTATTTCATTTCCTGTCCTTCTCTCCTACTGGAGTGGACGCTCCAGGAAGGCAGCACAGGACGTCTGTGGGGCTGTTACTCCCAGCGCCTGGGACAGCACCTGGGCTCCAGCAGCCCTCGGCGCACACTGGGTGATGGACCTGAGACTGCCCTTGTCCTTGAGAAATGCACCGTCCAGACCACAGTCACCACAGCCTGGCACCTCTAAAACAGCAGACTCCCGAGGGTCTCTTTTTCAGAAACTCTGGGGCTTTTAAAAGGAGAGTTATAGGGCGGCGCCTGTGGCTCAAAGGAGTAGGGCGCCGGCCCCATATACTGGAGGCTTGTGGGTTCAAACCTGGCCCTGGCCAAAAACTGCCCCCAAAAAGGAGAGTTATAGAGCAATGGGTGGGACACTGCACCCAGGCTTCTGGAAGGCCCAGCATTCACATCTGGTGCCAGCACGGCCTCCCCCTGTGTCAGGGCTCTGCCTGCCTTGCTGCACGTGGCTCAGGTGCCCCCTCCACTGAGTCAGCTCTGTCCTCAGAGTGCAGGGGCACTCCCTGCCCCAAGCCATCTCCCAAGGATGTGTTAAATGGACCAATCAGTAAGTGCATGTGTGTTCCCTTTCTTTATGCTGTATCTATGCATTCTCTCTGCTACGGGAGTGGGCTGCCCAGACAGTAAACCTTACTAAACCAGAAAAAAGCAAACACAAGCCCAGTCACACACAACACCCACACATCTGCTGCCCACACGCAGAATCTGCCCCACAGACGGCCACCCTGCTGCGTGACAGAAGGGTAGCAGCACAAACACGGACAGCAAAGCTGTGCAGGACAGACACACGCCACCCTGCGGGCACCAGGCACCCACCCACCCCGCCATGTGCCTCTTCACCTGTTCCACGGGGCCTGGGACCCCGTGCTCCTTCACTTTGCACCCCAGACCCGGGGCGTGGCAGCAGGAAGCGTGGACGCTGGCCTCCCTGTGGCCCACGCACTGGTTGAGCTGGCCTCGTGGCCTCAGCACGGGCCGGTTATAAGTTCCAAGGTCCTCCGCCTCCCAGTGGGAGCTGCAGCCTGGGCAGAGGAGAGCCAGCTCAGACAGTGAAATGCTGGGGGACCCTCTGTCCCCAGCCCCACTGGGCCCTATCGCTTTAGGGGCTGAAGCAGAAATAACTCAAGGTAGAAAAGAGACGCTGGCCTGTGCAGCAGGACTCCTGGGTTCCCAGTCCAACACTACCACTGACCTGCTGTGTGATGTTTGGAGAGCCATTCAACCTCTCTGAACCTTAGTTTGGGAAAACATATCTCCCTTCTACCCAGAGACAAAGCAATTAGACAAGGCCTTAGGTGCCCAACCTCCCCCGGTCCCTCCTCCCAATCTAGCCACCAGGCAGTTCAGAGGGTCTCTCTGGGGCACCTGGGGACCCCGTCCATGGGCTTGGCTATAAAACCTCAGATAGCAGATACTCAGCCTCAGCCAGCATCAGTTTCCCTATTTGTAAAATGAAAACAGGAACAGGGAGGAGGACACACCTGTGAAGCCCCACTGTGTGCCAGATGCACGGCAAGACCTCTATCCACCTTAGTCTGCTCTGTGACCAGCTGTGAGGGAGGCTGTGGGGAAGTCACTCAGCCCATCAGCCCTGCAGTTCCCTTAGCTGCAAAACAGCACCCCCTGGGATGTGGGTGCCCCAAAGAGTGAGACCTTGTGACTTCTAACTGGCACCTGCCCTCGAGCCTTTCTGCAGGGTGCTCCCAAAGCAAAGTGACTAGAACAAAGCAGACCCCCCAGTGTGGAGCAGGGCTGACGGCACCCTGGACCTGACTGCACCAGTACACCAGCCACCTGACGGCCAATCCATCCTGCACGCCAGCCTGCTCTTCTGAGCCAAGTCCTCACTCCTTATGCTCCTTTGCTAACCTCAGTGGCTCCCGAGGCTCACTCGATCAAGCATCAACTCCTGAGATAGTTACTCCAAGCTGGATCCCAAACATCTCACCCTCCACCCAAGCAGGATAGCTCAGTCCCCTCCCTACCCGAGGGGCACCATCCCTTAATGCCCAGGTGGCCTCCATCTGAGACTCCCTGCCACTGCCTGGCCATGTTTTTGACACAGGGTAGCTGATCAATAGTTACCTATCCCAAAGAATAGATTTTAAAGTAACAGGTGATAGATAACAATACTAACAGGAGACAGAATTTATATCATCCTGGCACTAAACCTAAGTGCTTAGCACCTATCATCCCCATGTACTGATGAGGAAACAGAGATGTCTCTCTGAGGCACAGAGATGTTAAGTAACTTGCCCAGATCACACAGCAGATATCAGACCCAAGTATGCTCCACTTTCAGACCCAGGCTGGGAGTCCCTACAGGAACTTCCCCTCCTGCACTGCGCTAGTCCATGGTGGGCCCATGCTCCCCACAACCCAACCATCATCCTTCTCATGCAGGAGGGATCCTCGATCGAGAAAGGAAAAGCCTCCTGTCCAGGGTCACAGGGCATGAAGTGGCAGAGCCAGGGAGGGTGAGTGACGGTAAGTCAGGCTCCAGAGTCTGACACGTCACGCTCTGAGGGCTCAGTCTGGTAGATGCCCAGCATGGGTGAAGGAAATTCCCCTCACTCCCAGGGCAGGTCCCAGCCTCCTACCTGTGAGGACGTGGCCCTGCGGGTGGCAGTGGGTGCGGGTCTCTGTGCCCGCCCTGGCTGGTGGAGCTGTGTGGACGCTGCAGTTGGCCTGGGGTAGCAGGCAGCACCTGGCAATGGCATAGACACCCTCACCCCCGAATGCGTTGTGGGCCAGGCAGACACGCCTGCCCCCTCGGGCCTGAGAGCCAAAACAGAAGTGGGAAGTTGCTTTAGAACAGGCTCGGAAACCCAGGAGGGGGCTGGATGGGAGCGACTCAGGGACCTGGTCCCAGCCCCTGGACCCTTCTCAATGGAGCCAGCCCCAGCTCCCAACCCTCTGGAGACAAAGAGCTCACCCCTGCCCAGGGAACACTGTTCTGCCAATGGGTAGCTCTGTATGTGCAAAAGTTCTCGCCGACACAGAGTGGGGAAATCCAGCAGGCCAGAGCAAGGACCACATGGCTCAGCCTCTCCAACTATCACCAAGGCACCATCTCCTGGCCTTGAAATGCCTCCC